AAAACCGTTAAATTATTGATACCAACTTGAATATGAATCTGAATAATCACCTAAACAAGCAAAAATAAAATTTTAAATAAACTATTAGAATTCAATCAAATCGATTATGGTAAATAACCAACTCATTAATAGAAAACACTCACGAGTCGAAATAGTCCAAAAACCGTCTACAACGCCGACGAGCGCCAGATCTGTCGCTGTACTTCTTGCAAACCCATCATCTATTTTAATAAAATATACTTCATTGGGCTGATTAAATGTACTCTGTAATATTGTGACAGTGACCACAGTATTAGAAGAATCTAATGTACAAAATTTTGAAGTGCCTGAAAATGTTTGCCTCAACAAAGCGCCACCGCTTGAAATGTTGGTTGAAGAAAGAAATTGAAATATTGAAATATTTCCAATTGATAATATAATAGGTTTAGAAAATGTAATGGACAAGGGAGCTGCAGCTAGTGGAATTATGGTAGTGTTCATTGGTAAAGAAGTTGATTCTATATTTGGGTTGATTAGAGGATTATCTAAAAAAACGATTCACAGTTAACAAATAATATATATATATTGAGAAAACTAATACTGTAGTTATTACCTGGATTATAAATTTTAATAACATCGGTTGTTACTACACTCCATGCTGAACCATTACCACCATCTCCCAAGACCAAAATCACAGTATTATTTCTAAATACACCTACACCACCTTCGTTTCCATTTGATCCACCATTAATCACAATATTATTAAAATTTAAATTTGCAAAAGTCAAATCCCAATTTCCTTTTAAATTTCCTTTAATATCAAAAATATTTCCAATAATTTCACTATTATTTAAATAAATTCGTTGTAAATATCCACCAAAATATAATGGATCAAATAATATCGTTTTTATAGAATTGGAAGAGATGTTGCCAATTGGAATTAAAATTGATTCCGTAATGAGACCTGTTAATAGAAATGAAACCTGTATTCTGGAGATAGAATTACTCTGAGTGGCTGATAGTAAACATTTGAACGCAGTCCCTTCAAATGAAGATTCACCGCATTGCATAATGTCTAATGATGATGTTAATGTGGTAGTATTATTATATATTATTAATGGGGCTATGAAATTGTTTGTTTCCGATATTAGAAAAGTACAATAAGCGAATAATGCAGATGTTGTAGAAGAAGCATTATATCGAGCAATGAAAGCAATCGCAAAATGGCCATAAAAGGTAGGAAAAATAGTATAATTTTGAAGTTGAAGGTTTAGATTGCCTGGCGTTTGAAATATTCCACTTGCTGACATTGTGAATGTTGGTGGTGTAGTAGGATCTGTTATCGCAGTGTTTAGTTTTCTGAATTTCAAGTGTAGTGTTATTTAAATTTTAATATATCATATATTAATTTAAGATTGAGTATTAAAAAAAACTCACTGTGAAGTAAACTTGACATAATTAATTGAATTGTTATTATCAAGTTTAAATGTCCACAAAAAATTGCCATTATTGTTTAAAACCGTTTTCGTTTTTGCAGGCAAATTTGACATGAATGGAGCACTTAGCGGTGGAAAATTACTAATTATTATATAAAATTGAAATATTTTTAAGAATTTGTAATTTCATATCAAAGTTTTAATTTAAAAAACTACAGACTTTTGAACTACTTTCCCATCCTGATTAATTATCATGGCAGCATATTGTACCAATACATTTCCGGTACTGACACCTGGAGTTGTAGAATTTAAATATAACAGCAAACTAAATTTTCCAACTAACGGATGAATCTCAATTTTATCCACTGGACAAAAATTAATAGGATCAAATATAAAGTCTACATCATTTGACACCAAAATTCCATTAGGTAGGATATATCTCATTATAACTCTTGATTCGGCGCATTGTCTGTTTGGAAGGCGCTGTTGTAGACGAATTACAGCGGTTCCATCTGTTGTAGTATCAAATTCGACAGGGAAAAGATTGGACTCTGCATATGTTAAAGTTTTTAAAGAGAGTGTAAGTTGTGGAAAAAGTAGCACACACGTGATTATATGAAGAAGAATGTTTATTATGATCATTTGTTTGTTAATTAAATAGTAACATTGTAACGGTAAATAATTACATGCGTATGTGTATAAAAGGTTTTGCTATAACTTTATTTGGTGAAAATACTTATTATGGGGATTGATAAGTTTACTATTTGAACTTGTAAACAAATGAAACAAGCGAAAGTTTTCAAAACCTTATAATTTATGTCGGTTAATAATAGATTTGATTTTCTCCATTGTTAAAATATGAGTATCTTGTTTATTATCAAGTTTGAATTTGTGGCTTTGCTATTTCAAATATATATATGTTAATTTTTTTTTTAGCCACTTTTGTGTTGCAAGCTTTATAAATGTTATTACACCGCCACTGAAAAATTTGACGATAGCCGAAGATGGATAAAAGTTTTAGGCAAAGCCATGTTAATAAGATTTATTATTTCTCATGAATTTGACTGCGAATAGCAGGAAATTTCAATTCTCCCTTGTGAAACATTGAATTCGTAAAAGTTATTGCATAATCTATGTCACAATCATAGAATTTGTAATTCTACAGAATAATTGTTCCTGACTAATCTAAACCATAAATTTAGAACATCATTATAGTGCACCAGTTAAGGCGTATCTTTCACTATAATGGAGCGATTTTATAGACAAATAGTTTGTTGCTTAAATCAGCAACGTAACATGTTCATGAAATTTGTGTGCCAATATCTAAGCATAGCGGCAAACTTTATTTTCTGGGGCTGAGAAGAGCAAAATGAAAAATTTTAAGCCCTACTCTACGAAATTTTCGATTCACGGTAAAATCAATACTCGATATCCGGAAACCTCTGAATATCGAAATCAGTTTAAAATGTAATACATTTCTACTATAATCATATATAGTACCTCCTATATAATCACATCACTGTAAAATCCTTTTTATAATCACGCCAAAGTCTGCAACGCTTTACTTATAAACTTATAAAAACACCTTTTTATAAGCACATCATAATAAAAACCTTATATAATCATACAATTAGCATGATACGAACTGAGATAGACGACTAGGGCTCTTTTACGAAAATTTTTTTTTGCATGAATCTTCGTTATAAATTTTCTTTATTTTCCCTATGTAAAAGCAAATACGATGTTGTAATAGAAAATAGCATTTGAAATGAGTAGCTCGATGACTTGCTTACCGACGCGTGGATGGCTTATTCTGTAACATGCGCATGTGATGTTTAGTATTGGGGATATGTTTTGATATATTGAAGAAATTATTTTTAAGAATTTAAAGTTTGTAAGGAAAAATAAGGGAAGAAATGAGGCTCAGGGACGTGCTTACCAACGCATGGGCGAAAACGTACGGTAACTTGCTCTCTGACTCTCGCATATATTAATATTGGGATATGAAAAAATAATCGCGGTATGTGTGCACTACCCAATTTTCATATTTTTCGCCACGTGATCTAAGCAAATAGTTTGTAAATATATACATAATAGTTAAGAAATCTTGTAGAACACAAATGTAAATGATGGCCATGTAAAGAGCGCAGCCCGGCACAACTCCCAATGTGTTATTTCATTAATCAATAAATTGATCCGAGCGAGAATAATAGTTGTACATTACATAATTTTGATAATCGATTAGGGTGTCTCTACATACATATTTCATAAATATATTATTAAAATTGCAATATACGATAATTAAATTTAGTATTTAAAATATGCGTGCGTACGTACGTACGTACGTACATACAGCGTTGCATATCAGATATAGTAATAGTGCCCATTATATAATACGTATAAAAAAATGCAATCCTTGAATGTGTGCTAGGTTTGTGGGGCAGATTTACTGAACTACGAATCTGATTTCAAGACCAGATGCAAAGTAACACGATCGAGAAAATTCAAAAAAAACGTCCGTTTTATCAAATATCGCTTATTTCTCGAAATTCTACATAAGAAACCACTTTTGGTGCTCTAATTAAAAGTTTTCGTTGGGCAATTTTTCCGTTTAAATTACCTTCTTCTAACCCGTAACCCTAATGCTAACTCTAACATAAATGTACACTAGTGCGATAGGTGGCGCTTCGCGTCACCTATCTTATTCAATACTTGAGAAAAAAATTTAGTAAATCCTAAATAGAATATTCAAGTAAATTTATTATAGTTTTTATACTCAAATAAACCTTGAAGTTTCTAAGGTACGTACTATTGAATATTTCGATTAAGTGAACATAAGATAAATTAAAAAAATTTTAATAATAATGAATAATAAATGCAAGTACTGT